AGCGGGAGAGGTCGTCGACGAGCGGCGGCAGAAAGTAGCGTCGTCCTCCCGGTGTGGCGGTGTCACCACCGGCCACACAAGTCCCTCAGGCACAAGCTCGAGCCTCTCCTTGGCTCGAAAGCTAGCCCATTGTGGAAAGGGGAGTCGCCTCGCTTCGTCAACACGCAGACGCCGCAGTCGCAGTGCTCCACATGGTCGAGGCACGGCAGCCTCGCACCATCTCCGCGGCAACCGAGCCGCCTGAGGCCTCGAAGTGAAGGTGCCCGGCGCTCGTGCCATCGCCACGCCTCGTCATCCCGACGAAGCGCCGAGACAGAGGGGTTGTGCCACCGCACGTTAAGGATGTAGAGTCGATTTGCGCTCGGATACCTTGGCAAGAAGGCGGCGACGGCGATCCCAAATCCTCATGACTCCATCCTCAACCACCACGCGAACCATTCTCATCCAAATTGTCCCAAGTCGATGATGGAGTTCCTCAACGCGGGGATGTAGTAGACTCCGGTGAGCGACTGTGCTCACCGTGACACACGCAGCAGTGAAGATGACGGAGCCGACGCCCTTGATCTCCACGCGGAGGCATCCCCAAACTTGACGGAGCCTCGGGCGCTAGAGTCAAGCTTCGGTGAAGAACTCCGTCGACCGGTCATGTGATGGGTGGCGCCGTGTCGAGGCACCACCCGTCCGGGGCTTGTCGTTGCGGGAGCCGTCGCCGAGGAGGGCATGTGCTTTTGGCTCGTCAAGGTGGAGGAGAACCACGCGCCGCCGGGTTACCGTCGGAGGTAGCTTCGATCTCGGCATGTGCCATGAACAGTCGGTTCCTCCGCCTCCGCTTTGTCGCGACATGGGCTCGGCCGTCGTGGTTGTCGACATCCTTGGCCCAATGGCCAAGCCGGCCGCAGATTCGGCGGCGTAGTGTCGTCTCGTCTTGGCTTAGTACTGCCGGCGCGGCCGCCGCCTGGCGCCTGCGGCATCACCCTCGGCGCGTCCTCGCGCCCGGCACTGGTGTGTCTCTGCGCCTTGCGCGGCTTGCCGCGCTTATGCCGCTGTCGCGGAAGAAGGCTCCCCTTCCTCGGGTCACCGGGCCGGCAAGCCACCGCCCCCCGAGTGAGAAGGAGCTTCCCGCCAGTGATGGGCCCCGAGAGGGGCTGGGGCTCATCGCCGCCGACGACCTTGAGGCGACCTATCGCCTCCTCGACGACATCGTGGAGAGATCCAGCAGAGACTCGATCGAGCGAGTCATCTGCTGTACTTCTCGGGGGGCGCAGCGGAAGAGCTTTTCGGCGCCTCTCTCCTCGCCGTAAGTGTTGTCGCCGAATCGCACCATCTTCTCGCAATGTGTTGAGACGGAGAGCAAAGTCATCAACGTCCTCACCGGCTTGAAGGCCGTGTTCTCCCACTCCTTGCGGCGTGCTCGCGCAGGGACTTCGGTAGCGATCGGCGCCGATCGCGTGCGCAATGATGGCGCCCCAAGCCTCCTTGGCGATCCGCTTCTTTGTAAGCGAGAATCGCATCTCGGCGGGGATCGCAGCGATGAGCGCATCCAACGCCCGTCGATCTAGGTCGTGGTCGACGCCGTCGTCACCGGACCGCCTCCCCCATGTGCCGCACTGGAGCTTTACCTCATCACCGCAGCCCCACTCGGCGTAGTTGGTCTTGGTGAGGGTAGGCCACCCACCGCCGGACCGACGTCCCGACAACGACTGGAGCCCGTGGTAACCACGGTACCGATCCGGGGAGAGAGAGCAACGCTGCCTGTGAAGGCCACGCTCTCCATCGACCCGTCGGTACCGATCCGGGGAGAGAGAGCCACGCTGCCTGTGAAGGCCGCGCTCTCCATCGACCCGTCGCCACCATTGCCGCGGCGCGCCTCCTCCAAGAGCGCCGCCGCCGCCGTGTCGCGCTTTCTCCAGAGCGCCACCAGCCGCGTCGCGCTGTCTGCGGCTGCCGCCAGCCGCGCTCGTGGCGTCGCGGCTGCCCAGAGCGCCACCGCCATGCGCGCGCCTCCTCGAGCGCGCCGCCCGGTGCACGTCCGCGCTTTCACGGCTGCCGCCACGCTGTGGCGTCGCTGCGGCGCTTCATCGCGCCGCCAAGCGCAAGCCGCCTCTCTCTAGCGCAGCTCGAGGTCCGCGTCGGCGGTGTCGTCGCCGAAATGGAGCGCTGAAATCTTTGCCGCTGCACAGACCTCGATTGCCGCCCGCCGCCGCCGCCGCATTCTGCCGCCTCCGCTTCCGCTGCTGCTGCCGCTCACCCGCCGCCCTCCGCCCTCTGCCGCTTGCTTTTGCTGCGCCGGCAGTTGTCTGCCGCCGCTTCTCTCGCGTTCTCTCTGCCGCGGCAAGTTCGGCTCTCCGCCGACGCCACAGCGTGCTCGAGGCGACTCGAAGCCGCCGAGATCGCCTGCGAACATGACGCGCTACTGGGGACTGCTAGCGCGTGGGGAGAGGGCTGCCAGACGAGCCGCTTGCTCACGCTGGGGGTGAGCAGAGCGGCCAAGCCGCCGCCGTTGCTTTCATAGCTCAGACATTAGTGGTGGGAGAGGAGATGAGCGGAGATGCTCAAAGCTCTGTGAGGATAATCTGGCTCTGATACCACTTGTTTGTCAGCCAATTCTCACTCTTGGTAGTAGGAGAATTCTTACTCTCATCGAGAGAGGATGACACTAGGAGTTGGGGCAATTTTCTTGTCTATTTCTTACTCAAATGCCATGCCAACCTGGAGGGGTTGGGTTTACAAATTTATAGGTGGTTAGCCACCAAGCATATGCCAAGATGCTAGTCTAAGATGCTAAGATGCTGTCCTAGCTAAGATGCTGTCCTCTAGTCTAAGATGTTGTCCTCTAAGATGTCATCCTGCTTGTCCTCTAGTCTAAGATGCTGTCCTAAAAGCGTAAAAAAACACCACAAGGACCATGTGAACAAAGACACCCCACAAAGACCACACATGAGACTTATCCATCACGCACGGTGCTGTCCTTGGCGCTCTCCCGTCGCTGGCCCATTCACCAGCTGGACGTGAAGAACGCGAGCTTCATGGCAATTTGACTGAGACGGTGTATTGCCAGCAGCCATCCGGGTTTGAAGATCCAGTTCATCCGGATTTTGTCTGCCTTCTGAAGAAATCACTCTACGGCCTGAAGCAGGCTCCTCGTGCTTGGTACAGTCGAATGGCTACTTTCTTGCAGTCTATTGGGTTTGTTGAAGCCAAGTCGACACCTCACTCTTCGCGTCTACCAAATAAATGTGGTTCCGACACGACCCTACTTGTTGCTATATGTTGACGACATTGTCCTCACAGCTTCATCATCGACCTTCTTGGCGGATCATCTCAAAGACTTCAAATGAGAATTCGCCATGAAAGATCTTGGTGAACTACATCACTTCCTCGGCATGCATGTTCAAATGAAGTGGTGATGGACTCCCGCTCTCTCACAAATGACAAGACATGCCGGATATCCTCGATTATACCGAATGGTCGAGTGCAAGCCATGCTCTACTCCAAAGGACACCAATCCTAAGGTTGTTTGCTGCTGAGGGGCCCCCAGTATCCGATGCTACCGACTTCCGCAGCCTTTTTGGAGCCCTTCAAGATTTGACATTCACCCGCCCAGACATTGCATATGCCGCTCAAAGAGGTCTCTCTTCACATGCACGACCCTGGGAGCCTCACCTCATTGCTCTGGCGCATCCTTCGCTATGTTCGGGGCACACTCCACCTCGGTCTCCCCTGCGCGACCTTCCACTTCGACCGATCTTGTCGTCTACACCGACGCCGATTAATGGTTGTCCGGACACTTTCAAAGTCCACCTCGAAAGGCTGCAAGTGTTCCTTGGTGACAATCTTGTTTCTTGGTCCTCCAAGCGCCGTGAACCACGATATCAAGATCAAGTCTTGAAGTTTGAATATCGCTTGCAGTAGCTAACGGAGTTGCAGAGGCAACTTAGCTACGCCAAACTTCTCCTAGAGTTGCATGCCCTCTTGGCGCGCGCCACACCGGTGTCTTCGCGACAACATCGATGCCGTCTACATGACCTCCAACCCGGTGCAACATCGGTAGCACCAAGCACATCGAGATTGATCTTCACTTCGTCCCGGAGCGCGAGTCGCCATTGGTGACCTTCGTGTTCGCATGTTCCCACCTCTTCGCAATATGCGCACATCTTCACCCAAGGGGCTGCCTACCTCGGTGTTCCACGGAGTTCAGTCCGATCTAAACGCAAGCGAGTGGTGACGATTCGACTGTGGGGGCGTGTTAGCATAGGCGCCTGATAGGGCTGTTATGGGCCTGGTGTTAAGGCCCATGCGGCTAGTGCCTTAGGGGTTAAGTTAGATTGATAAGGCAAGGATCACCGTTGATTGGGTGTTTCTATAAACCCTCCGGATCCTTGCCTATATATATATATATATATATATTGTACCCTGTACTCTTGATTATCAATCTATCAATCCCGAGACATATTTGCTCTCATAACATAAGTACATCTTATTCTTCGCTGTTTCTTCCCTTCTAAAAAATGACAGCCCCCAACTAATACAGAGCCCCACCTATCTGAATTTCTTATTTCTTAAGCAAGAAAGAAAACAGTTAAATCTTGTGTAAGGAACCCTGAGTCAATGCAAATGACAGCAGGCTGACCAGCTTTTGAAGAAATGCATTCTTTTCCATTTCTCAGTTAATTTACTGTAGACTGCATACACCTTGACTGGAATAATTGATTATCCAGTTTAGCTTTTATATATGATAATAAAGCGTGCCAAAGTACAACCTTTAAGGTTTGCTTATAGATATCTAGTACTCCTCCTCTGAATATTATTGTCAATTGTCAAAGCTAGCATTCAAAGATGTTTGCTGTGAGCTCTGATAATCTAGTTGAGCAAAGGCCAAGCCAATGCCTCAACTGGTGTACATATAATAAGGTTTGTCAGTACCGCATATCCAGCTGGTTGTCAGCAAATTGTTAGGATTCACAGAACAAACAAGAATAGCTTTTCAGAGTGGAAATTACCTCTGGCCTTGGATCCTCTGAACTCTTTTGGTGAACTAAATTTATAATCCCCTCATGAACTTCTCGTTTCTTCTTCATCACATCTAGCCATTGATTAGAACCCTACAAACATGCCAAGATGAAAACAGTAGCAATAATGTTTTTTTTCTGGCATACTGTGAGTCAGAATCATCATTTTCAGCATAGATCAGTATTTAGTGACTCTATGTGCTGACTGATTGCAGCAGATGCATAGATCAGTATTTAAGCCAAGAATATGATACTGGGAAAGGAACAAAAAATGGTTTATGTTACCTTAGAATTTCGTGCTTTAGTAGCTTCACCTTCAGCCTCTAAAATAGTCTGCTTTGGCCTGGAAATCAATTTAGGGTAAAGAAGCTCCATTACATGACACATTGAATAAATACAAGAAACATAAATTTTTTGAGCTAGAGTAACTACCGAAATGATTTCAGGCGTTCTGAAAATGCAAGAGCTGAAAGCTCATCTGACCGGAGAATGTCCCTGAAAATTGGATGAAGACCTTCACGAGGCAAATCTTTTACCCTTTTGATGGATTCTTTTGATGGCATAGCACGAGTCTTGAGATACAACCGGAAAGCATTAGCACATGGCTTTTCTAATGCTATCAACTCTGTACATCCACTAATAACTTCTTTTAATCCATCAGAGGCAAGATCAAGGACGGTTTGAGGAAATCGCCCATACACTGATTCCCCATTTGCAATAGCTTCATCGATTTTCATATTTATACCGTCCATATCTTTTAGGAGTTCCTCCTCCGTTGGAGCAGGTCTAAGAGGCCTTGAAAGGAAAAGATGTAGGTCCAATAAATATGGCATGTCCTCTGAAGTGACAAATGTATAAGCTGTTCCACTTCTACCTTGTCTAGCTACTCGACCAACTCTATGAACAAATAACTTAGGCTTTGCAGGAAAGTCCCAGTTCACTACATTATCCAGCAACGGAATATCCAAGCCCCTCGCAGCAACATCTGTCACAATAAGTAGCATGGTCTTCCTTGCCCTGAACTTTGAAATATGAATCATACGAGCTTCCTGATCCATAGCACCATAGGATAGGGAAGGCTCTAAACCCTCTTCTCTGAACAAAATATTCAAGAACTCCACATGATGCTTGGTTGAAACAAAAATTATTGTCTGCTCCTCGGAGCTGATGCGCTCCCTGACCAAATACAGTAAGGCAGCAAGCTTCTCTTCCTGGCGCAGTGTGAAGAAGGCGAGCCTGAGATCAGGACTGATCTTTTTGTCCAAGTCGAGCCTCACAATGTGCGGATCACGCAGACCAGCTTTTGCAAAATCTGCAAGGGCGCTCGGCAAAGTGGCACTAAAGAGCAATGTTTGTCGTGTATCACTTAGCTTCTTCAGAATATCGTGCAAATGTTTGGCGAACCCCATGCTGAACAAGGAATCTGCTTCATCAAACACAACATATTCCACTGAACGGAGAGTCATGTCCTTAACATCATTCAAATGGTGCATGAGCCTGCCTGGCGTGGCAATTATGATATCAGGACACTCTGACAGGTCCTCAAACTGACTCTCCATGCTATCTCCACCAACAATTATGCTGGTTCTTAGGTCTACAAAATAGGGGAGAGAGAAACTAAGTCATAAGTCACTACTCCACATTAATGAAAACATTTCGAGCTGAGAAGGCACAACACAGAAAACATAAAAATTGATGAACAACATTGCATACAAGGGCACAAACACAACAATATACCCAAAATGGTAGGCTGTGCTATTAAGTAAAGCAGATCAATATAAGCCGCTAGATTATGCATCTCGAGAGTGCTATCATATAGAAAATCTCAATTGGTAAAACAAAACAACTCACAGCATGATGGCTACATGTACAAAGCTGAGAGCGTGCATAACGGCACATTGGCATGGCTACGAGCGAGCGCAAGGGGTACCACGCACCTGTGAACTTGCCGAGCTGGTTGCAAAACTTGAGCGTCTGCATCGCGAGGTCGCGGGTAGGGGAGAGGATGAGCGCGCGGACGCCGGCGCTCGGGTCGCGGCGGCGGAGGCGCTGCAGCATGGGCACCAGGAACGCGGCGGTCTTCCCGGAGCCCGTGCGGGCCATGGCGGCGACGTCGACGCCCGCGAGGATGAGCGGCATGGTCTTGCGCTGGATCGGCGTGGGCACGCGGTACCCCTTGTGGCGCACCCCGCGGTACACCTCCTCGCAGAGCCCCATCGACTCGAACCCGCCCGACTTGGCCTTCTTGCTCCCGCCCGACTTGGACTTCTTGCCGCCGCCGCCCGCCGACTTCTCGCGCTTCGGCCGCCGCGGCGACACCGCATCCGCCTCCGCCGCGGCGTCCATGGCGGATGAGGAGGAGGGCTTGGGCTTCCTGGTGGATTTGGACTTGGCTGGGGTTAAGCGAGCCATGGGTGGGAAGTAGGGAGGGAGGGAGGAGAGACCAGAGAGATGTGGGTTTAGCCGTTTAGGGCTTTATCAATGTCGGCCGCCGCGGCGAGGTGCTGCGGAGGGGAGGGAGAGGGAGGAGAGGAGACACGAGGCAACTTGCGCGACGAACCAGGTAGGGAGTGATGGGCCGGGCCGACAAGAAAACATCATGGGCTAAGACACAATATCGCCCAATGATTTTTTTTTTGAAACTATATCGCCCAATGATTTTAGGTCTACATTAATCTGAGAAGACATTTTTCTATATTTAAAACGAAAGAAAGTACACCCTCAAGAAAAATATAGAAGAAAATATAGCTCACTAATTAATTGATTGCGCAGTGAACAAACCTGTATTGTACGAAGAAGAAATTGTAGTTGAGTTTCACTTAAGAGCATATTTGATACACATCAGAAATTTGGCTATCCACCAATTACCCCTCTTATTTAGATGCACATGTACTAGAGCTAATTGAACTAAAATTAGCTACTCTCTCCATTCCAAATTATAGTTCGTTTGACTTTTTTTACCCCAAGTTTAACCGTTGGTCTTATTCAAAAAATTTGTGTAAACATAGTCAAATTTAAGTCATTTTTGAAGAATTTTTATTAATAAAGCAAGCCACAACAAAAGAAGTGATATTTAACATAAATTTTTAAATAAGACGAATGATCAAACTTAAGGTCAAAAAAAGTCAAACGAACTATAATTTAGAATGGATTTAGTAACTAACAATTAGCTCATCTTATCTAAACATTCCCTAATTAGTTCTACCTAGACTCGAGGTGTGTTCGATATAGTTCCACGTCTTTGATTCTTTATGGAATGATTCTAGGATGGACCGTCATCAATTCATCATACGTCTAAACTCTACTAGGAGTGACTATAGTGAGGAGGAATGGAATATCCCGACACTAGTTGTGTCCAAACCAAAACAGAAGCTCAAAAGACAACGCAACACAATGACAAGCTCAAAAGACAACACAAGAAAATGAGCCATAAGGCTGTCTCCAACTGGAGACCTATTGCGAAACCCAAACTCAAAATAGGTCTCCAACATAATACCTATAGCCTCCAACAAAGTACCTATATAAAAGATCCATTTTAGTGTCGGAAGAGGTATAACCTAAATGTGAGTATCCTCTCTTCTAGAAATCCATTTGCAGAAAGGGCTGTCTTTTGGATCTTGTTGTTGAAGAAAACTAAAAATAGATATTGAATTCTTTACCTATAGCGCTACCCAAAGAACAAATGAATTTTGTATTTTAGATCACGGTTGTTGAAGACGGTCTAACTAGAGGAGCAAGAAACTACAGATTTATTGCACAGCAGCAACTACGAAGAGCTCCACGATACTGCTACAGTAGATAGACAAAACTGAAATATGAACATCTTCCAAGAGAGTTTGCACACACACACGATGTATGACTAGGGATTACTTGTGGCTACTGCCAGCATTGACATTCTTCGTCGTACAACAGAGAACAAGTTACGCATAGGTAGGCTGTTGACGCATGTAAACAGCGCCAAACACATTTATGCAATCTATCAAAAAAATTACGCACAGTATCTCATTGATTCTCGTATACATTTCTACAAGGGAAGAGTAAAATCAAAACCATCAACTCAGCGTCACTAAAAATGGTTTTTGATGCTTGCAGCACAGTATGACCTTACAAGCGTGATCACAGTTGAGTAATGTAAATCAGAGGTCATACAAGGTAAACAGGCTTAGCTTCATGACTTTGCTCTTCCTGATAGTCCAGATTCGACTTTCTTGATCTCAAATATCAGCATCCTCCACATCTTGAGGACAAACATCTCGGCCTCAACATCCAAAATCGACTGTAGGAGATCTAGCATTTTTTCTGCCTGAACGTGGTCTTTGGTGCAGGAAATAATATAGTCCACCAAAGTTGATTCCTCCTCGCCAAGAAACTCAATAATCTTTTTTGAAATCCAAGGTCTCATTCTCTCGTGCAACTCATGCTGCACCAAGAAAGAACAAATCATAATGTCAAATAGAATCAAAAGGGATACATGCGAACAAGATAAATTGTATAACAAGGGGCGAGAAACAAAAAATATGTGTTTCAACTTCCATGGTAACCTAACAGCTAATACTTAATCAATTGGTCAATTGGTCATGAATCATGGGCAGAATGAAGACAACTGGATCGCAACCACATGTTTTAGGGTGGTTTACAAAACTATGCGAACCAGAAACTCATCGAAACAGCACCGGCTGTTATTTGATTAATTACCCCAACACAAAGGAAGATTAAAAACACAAAAAAATGCATGTGCTAAGTAGTGAAAAAAAAGCTTGAGAACAGATGAAAGAACATAACACTATTCAGCTTCCAAGTTAAAAATAGTGCAAGTTAATGAATTTGATTTCACCTTGTCATATATCGCCCAGTTTATATCATAGGCAAAAAGCTCTTCCTTTGTCCTTGGGATCATATCAATTAATTGCTTTGCATCCAGAATCTTCTTGTTCTCTGACTTGGGCTTATCCTTCTCGCGATCATGTAGCTTCTCTCTTCGCTCATCACTAGGACGACCTTCACTGGATCTCCTATTCCTATCCTTCTCGGCGTCAGCCTTCTCTTCCTTTGAGTTTGAAACTGAGATGCGCTTGGCAAACTCGGCAGCTGCTGCGACATTTGCCCCAGTAGAAGAATTAGCCTGTACAACTTGTAATTCTTCATTGGAGTAATCGATAGGTACTAGAGGTCTTATGCTTTTATCAACATTATTTTCGTCATCCTCTTCAGCAAAAACTGATGGAACAGATGTCCTTTTGCCCAAGCCTATCAAACCAAAACCCAGTTTTTTTGCTGGGGCATTGCTGTTTTGCTTGGTATCAGCGAGTTGACCAGGTGCCATGCTTGTTTCTTCACCATTATTTTCCTTACCAAGTCCACCTGGCCAATGAGAAAAAAGAAAAGGATGAAACTGGAACATGGAAATGTGATAAGACTCAGAAAAGACATTCACACTTACCAGCACCAACACCATTAGCAAAGCTCAGGATGTTATCAGCCTCCACAACCGTCGGCTTATTTTGTGCATCTGTTTCCTTTTCGTCACCACCATCAACCTCCATAAGTGTAGCAGACTCTTCAGCAGCTGCAGCGGCTGCAGCTGCTTCATCTGCTTGCTGTTGCAACTCTACAGCCCTCCTCCTTGCCTCTGCAATTTCCTCTTCCTCCCTTATTTTATCTGCCAAATCTTCCTCCTTTTCACGTTGCCTCCTCCTTTTCCTATCTTCAAGTGAGCTACTACTTCGCTTCCTTTTCCTATTATCCTCTTCATCACTATTGTCTTCCTGCTTCAGGATCTCCCTTCTGCGGTTATGTTCTCTGTCTCTTTCTTTCTCCTTTTCACTATATCTCTGATATTCTTTCTCTCTCTCCCTAGATTCCCACTCCTTAAGGCGATCCCTGTATAGCCTATCAGCTTCTCTATGCTTGTGATCCTTCTCTCTATCCCTCCGTACTCTTTCACGTTCCCGTTCACGATCATGCCTTTCAAGATCTTTGTCCCGTTTATCCTTATCATGCTCTCTATCCTTCCTCCTATCAGGAGAGGCAGTTTCAGATCTTTCTGTTTCATTAACTGCCCTTTTATCAGTGTCAGCATCATTCTTATCATTAGAATCTGCGATTGCAATAAAATATATTAAAGAAAAAAATGCTATTATTGGGCAAAATGAAGTAACCATAATTAGGAGGACCCAGTACCATTTTTTGCCTTATCTACGCCAGAGCTATCAGCAAATTGTTGAACCGGAGGAGGTGGAGGTGGGGGTGGCGGTCTAGTCTTTAACCACTCCTCAATCATATTGCTTATTTTTTCTGCGACGTCTTTATCAGCTTGAGAGTCTTCATCAGTAACAATCCCAAATTTCTTAGTGTTCTCTTCATTGTCCTTATCTCCAGCATCTCCTGTCTCCTTATCCGATTCATCAGGGACAGATTTTGATGATTCATTTTCAGCAACAGCTGTAGTTCCATGACCGCTTGCATCTTCTGTTTCTTTTGCCTTCTCTTGTGCTCTCTTCTTTTCCTCAACATGTTTCTTCAGGTAATCCTTGGTAGCATCATTTATATTAATCTGGTATAGAAAATAGAACAGATGCATTATATAGAATTATCATTAGTTTAAGAACCTACAGAAAATTAACATTGCATTGACAGGATGAAGAAAAGTTAACTCAATGAGCATTCGTATAGTACTATATTACGGAAAACTTCTAGGCTTACGTATAGTACTAAAGCAATGAGCATTTGTATAACATTTGATTGGTGTCGGTACCCGATGATATGCGAAACTGTATTTGTATTCGTTTTAAAATCTGGAAACAAATGTGGTGAATGCACTATCCATTTCGATCCATTTTCACCCCGAACTTTGGTATCTCAGTTGCCCCCTGAACCAATCCAAAAGAAACCACAACATGATCATGACATGATGAGAGACTATTACTAATTTTGGCAACAAATATTGAATATGCAAGCTAAACAACTACTCCCTCCGTTCCGTTTTATCTGGCGTAGCACCATAACATGCGCTCCTATTAAATGGTATGCAGCAGTTACGCAGCGTTTTTCGCTTTTCCCACTCCATGCATGCGTGCATGAATAATTGATCTGTAATTCCATTGGCCTGCTTCTCCTCCCTTTGCTGCATGCAATTGATAACAGCTCCACTAAATATAGAAAACAAAGCTGGATTAAATTGTTCTTGGTATGTGGAATACTAATGTTGGCGCCAGATAAAACGGAACGAGGGAGTACTTGCAAACAGTTGTCACTTCCCATGTCACGCCCAGCTCTTCCAAAAAAAAAACCTAAATGCTAACACACATTTTTTTCACCAATGAAGTTGAGACCGAAGACAGAGGCAATGATGCATACCACCAGTTCCTGACCATCAATGCTCAATTTGTTGAGAAGCCGTGTCGCACAAAGGATGCCTTCAGCAGATTCAAATTCACAAAACCCAAAACCTTTAGGTTTTCCATCACTTGGATCTTGGGCACGCTTCCAACTCTTGATAGGTCCACAAAGCTGAACATGGTCCAACATTAGACAGACTTTTCTACAGTAAAGAGTTACCTACTAAATTACAAATAGAAATGGTACTGATAAAAGGGAAAAAAATCAACCCTTCCATACATACAACTAAAAAATATATAGGAGAAAAGAAGACATACCCGAAGAAGTGAAAGAAGGAAATCATTGTCTACTGTTGGGGCAATCTTGCCAACATAAACTGCAGTTGGCGGTTTATCAGCCAGCGTAACGGCTGGAGCAGGTGGCCGGGCACTTGGGGCTACCAAAGGAAGAATAGCCCTAATCCCAGAAATTATTGGTGGTCGTTGAATTGCCACAACACCAGGCGGCGGCATTGGACGTGGAACAAAACCTGGACGAACCATAGGATACGGTGCAGGATAACGAGGCAATCCTGCAGAGACAGACAAACGACACCTATGCAACCACATTAGTAAGTATACCCATAAAGTAAAACACAAGATACCTCATAACACATAGAATCAGAGAATGTAGTCATGTGTAAACAGAAGATACCGAAAGCCATAAACAAATAAGAGCTGACTGAATAGATAAGCAATATCTTGCTAGTTCAGAATTCCAGAGTGAACATCAACGGAAGCAATATCTTGCTCAAATGAAAAGGGAGCTAAGCAAAGCTGGCCTTACCTCTCAACCTCAAGGACAGGATAACATACTTGTATTGGTTATTTGAGAAACTTGGTATAGCTCACACCATTGCAATGCACTACTCAGGTAATAAGAGCTCAGACAAATATGTCACTAATCTACTCTTCTTATCAACAAAGAAATGTATATGAAAGCAGAACAAAAAGATATAGCCGGCATATGAAAATTAAACGGCAGAAAATCATGATACCTTAGCAAGTTTTTGGAACAACCCAGAGCTGAAGCATCTAAGTACATAAAGAAACTGAGCCTAATTAAGCAGTGAGACGAGCTAAAGTATGTGAATCAATTAGACAATGTAAACAAAACCAGTTCAAATTCAAACATTCGGCATACCACACTCAGTGAGGGAGCAAATGATCTAGAGCTTCAGTTAGAGCTGCAGAATCAAACATGAGCCGGCACCTCTCGCTGTGGGGAGTAATGGCTGGCACGACCACCGCTGTAGCAGAGAAATATCCGGTCATCGTTATCAAGCGAGCGGATCCCAGTTTCTCTAACTCTATCTAAAGCACTAGCACCACACCTCTAAACGCTAACCAACACCCTGCCCAGGTCCAATGCACAAATCCTCTCGATTCTCCCGAAACCCACAAAGAGATCCTCAACATCGCAGCTCATGGTACACCTTGAAGGTTCAGACTTGAGAAATAAAACCGGATACAAAATAGTGGGCAAGGCATAGATTCGTCATCGTTAACTAACTAACTAAAACCAAGTCGCGGTGTCGCAGAGGTTAACGGAGTTGGAGATCAGGGACCCACCGGGATGGGGGACCGCAGCGCCCTGCTGCGGTATGTATGCTCCCGGCTGGGGCGGCCCGTACATGGCCGGTGGCCGCACGGCGCCCGGTGGCATAACGACCTGGACGCCCGGCGGCTGCATCGCCTGCAGCATCGGGTAGCCCGGGTTCGGCGGCACCGCGCCGTACTGCGGGACCTGGTGCGGCGGCGGTGGCGCCGGGGCACCGAGCGGACGGAAAGTGGCGGCGAAGGAGACCGGAGCTGGGGGCATCGGCGGCGCGACTGCCGCCGGAGGCGTGGAAGCGGGGGCGGGGGCAGCGGGCAGGCTAGGGTTTGGGCTAGGCGCCGCGGGACCGGGCGTCGCGGGGTTTGGCGGGGTGGAGGTGGCGGCGGGAGGCGGGGTGAGCGTGGTGGCAGGAGCCGCGGCTGGGGGAGTGGCCGGCGGCGGGTCAAGGTTGTCGGGCGGAGGCGCGACGGCCGCCATGGTGGTAGGGAGAGGCGGGGAGAGCCGAGATGGTGGGTGGTTTGGGTTCGAGTTCGAGCACGAGGAGAGGAGACCGGTTGGGTGATCAAGATTGCGCTGGTGGATCGATTGCTCCGAGCCGGATGGAGAGGGCTCTGGCTGGATGCGCTGTTGCCTGTTGGGCCTCGGCCCGCTCGTGAATTATTACGGGCTCCCTTTATCCATTCAGTGGTTTAGGGCTCCATGGTTCTCTGAATTTTTGGCGCGCCAGTTTTTCCGAATGGAAAAAGTCCTTTACACCTCTTTTATCATAAAAAAGTACAGTATTCCTCCTTGAATTTTAAAGCCAGATGTTTTATCTTTTTAAAAGTTATATAAAAAGCATATCTGTATAAAAAATTCTACAAAGATTTAATAATGTCTTTTGAACCATAAAACAATTCTCTTGGTTTCTAAAAATTATGAGAAAACCTAGAGATAGATTGGGACAAAAAATCCAAATAAAATTTTAGAGCTCATAAAATATCTTTAGAATCTTCAAACAATTATATTTAGCTCTATAAAAACTATAAAATATATAGAATTTTTTGGAAAATACCAAAACATTCTAATTGATGCCCAAACACATTTTAAGAACTTTGTACGGCAAAAATGTCAGATTCATCTAGCATAAATGCAACATACATTAATGTTAAATGCATTTATGCTGGCTATGTCTCTTATTTTTTTATTTATGGAAAGTTTTCAGAACATGTTTAGTCACCGATTGAAATATTTTGGAAATTTTCCACATTTTTCTAGATATTTTCCTAGATATAAATCTAATTTTTAGAAACTTTTAGAGATGTTCTCATGCTCTAGATAATTTGTTTAGGTTTCTCTTATCCTATTTTTTAGAATCTTTTTTGGGAAATTTTAGAAGCTTGGAGACATTTTTGTGTTTTTAAAACTTTATCAAATATTTACCCGGTTTTATTTAACTAAAAAATGCAACCACCTTATAGACCACTACTAATTAGGGTAGGGAGGTCATTTTAACGGGTTTGAGAGTTTTAGGGGTTAATATGTCTAGTTATAGAGTTCAGGGAAGAAAGCTGAATTCCAACTATACTTCAAGGAGGTAAAAGTAACATTTTTCTTTTCTAAAACTGATTGAGTCTAAAATTGTGTTAAAATGAGCCCATGTAAAAAGTCATGACGTAGATCTCAGCTCGAAATCCGCATCTCCTACTTAATACATGCCCACGTTTTTCTTCAACACCTACCAAACGTCAAAATGAATTTTCTCCATAGAAGAAGTTTCCATAACTACCAAATCTCTTCGAATTCAGGGTCTCGAGGTGGCTAAGGCCAGTCTCAGTGTGGGATTTTATGGCATTGTTTCCAAGACTATCGTGTCATATGAAATAAAATAAAACATAAATAAAAATTTCACTCTCAATGAAAAGTTTCATTTTGTGGTTTATAGACATTTAATTTCATGACTCACAGAAAGTTGATAATCAATGATAAGAGAGTTTCATCCCCCATGAAACTCACTTAATTATTCTCTCTTCTTAAAAATGTTGCCATATAGGCCCCGTTCGCTAATCTGAAACTTAACTGAAATTGGTTGAAAAATACTATTCTGGCTAAAATATTGTGAGAGAAAAACACTGTTCCTGAAAAAAAAAAAACCGAACAAACCAAATTTCAGACCAGCCGAACAAGGCCATAACGAAAAGTGCTTATATGATAACATATTAAATGCAAAAGAAACTTCTAGTAAGACTGACCTAGCACGGCCATAGAAGCTTTGATAGGGAGGAACTATGGGGGGAGACTTGACAATAGGGAAGCTGCCTGATAATGGTGAGGGACCATGTTTGGGACTTGTGACGAGGCCTATGATGGGCGAGGTAAGCAATGAACACGCTCATTTGAATGGTTGGATTAGTACGTTGTTGTTAATGGACTGCAAGGAAATTAAAGCTATCAACTTAAGATTTAAGAAGCCTAGTATGTCCGATCCTCACTTTTTTCTTTAGATGTCACACTATGTGCTTTTCATGGTGAGACAAGGAGAGTCTTAAGTCCTGTTTGGTAGAGATTTTGTGGTAAATTAGGAGCAACTCTACACTGTGTATTTACAAAACGGCTAAAAACAAATAGCTCCTCGATCATGTGGAGCCATGGAACACATGATCTCACGAGACATGGGCAACACATGGAGCTGGGAGAAACAAGCTTCTCCTGGCTCTATCGTTGTCGACAGAATATCATCGGCGGTCCTTCGAGGGGTATCCCACGAAGGTAGATTGATCGGAAGAGATGTGTGTAATCGAGAATAAGAAGGCAACAGAGACACACGAGTTAGACAGGTTCAGACCGTCAGTATGACGTAACACCCTACTCCTGTGGTATGTTGGATTGTATTGGCTATCGTATGATATTGTGTGCATTTGGAGGGGGTCCCTGTCCGCCTTATATAGTCCGGGGGCAAAGTTACAAGTAGGTTAGATATAGGAGATAACCGAAAAGTAATAACAGATTACAGGAATCATGGGATCATACGTATCCTAACAGATCTCGTAGTATCTTCAGGATATCTTTCCGGTGTCTTGCGGGAGACGCCGAGCAGCGTCGTGCCCCGTAAGGCTTTATCTTGTGGGCTAGGCCACCCCTGGGGGCGCAGCTCATGTGGTCTGCCATGGGTATCCGGGGTCGTACCCCCCACAGCTAGTCCCTGAGCGCCTTGTATCCGTTGTGCAACGTTGTCTTAAGCTTGTCCGAGCAGGTGCGAACAAAACCGAGCAGTCAAACTCATGGTCCGACCACCGTGATGAGTTGTCGAGCAGTTGTGAGCCGTCGCCGAGCAGCGTGAACCATCGCCGAGCAGTGTGAACTATCGCCGAGCGGTGTGAACCGTCGCCGAGCAGTGTATCCCAAGTTAGGCTTGCCATAAGGATGTAAGAAGCTCAAGTTCGAAATCAAAAATTTCTTCGAAGTGGACCAAGTGTGCCCACTTAAAATCCGACCACGAGAAAGGGAGATAGTCTTCTTCAGCTTCGGGAGGGGCGGAGTCTTCTAAATTAAAGCAAACACACTCACCGCAAGGTGAAGTGTGTCCACTTAGTCCCCGAGCCTGACAGTAGGTGACGAAGTCACGTGGTGCCAGGGTCCAAAGTAAAGAAAAGTACAAGGCTAGCCGAGCAGGCAGCCAGTCCCCGGGTGTAGCCACGAAATGAGAAAAACACATTCACCGTAAGGTGAAGTGTGCCCACTTAGTCCCCGAGCCTGACAGTAGGTGACATGGTCACGTGGTGCCAGGGTCAGAAACAATCAACAGAAGAAAGTCCCTAGTGCGGTGAGGAACCAAGTCGTATTGATGATGCAGTCCCTGAGCCACAAGTGGAAATCTTAGAGAAAATAGACCGCGGAGAAAAAACCGGAGTAACGGCTGTACAGTAGTAATTACTGAGCCATAACAGATGGCGGAGAAATTGGTGAATATTTGGTGAGCAGTAACAACTTGTGGCGATAAATGGGTGATACAGGCTGCAATTGCACGAAAGCCCAAGTAACGGCTCACCTGTTTCGGAGAATGCGGAGAGGCGCAAATCATGGAGCGGTTTTCCAAAAACCCTCGAATGCGAAAGGTGTGGGGAGTGCTTTATAACTGTGTCACCGCACCCCGCGCTCCCACCTTTGCCACTTTGCCATTTCATCTTCCTCCTCAGCCCTCGCACTTCTAGATTCATATTCTCACGCGCTTCCGCCGCTAATCCCAAACTAGATCTGAGAGATGGCGCCGAAGAGGGGAGCTGGAAACCCAAAGAAGGCGACCGCCGGAGCCAGCCGCGACAAGAGTGGGTGTCGTCGAACATGGGGGAGGCGGAGATCAACAAGATGGTGGAAGTGGGCGTCCTTTCTGACCGTGTCACCGCCGGATGGCGGCCAGCCAGCGGTGAGCCCTTTCCAATGCCGCATACTAACGAAGTAGTTGTTTTTTAGGATTATTTCTGGCGCGGGTTAGGATTCCCCGTTCATCCTTTCTTGAGGGACCTATTGGAGTTCTGGAGAGTGAGTCTATGCAATCTCCACCCAAACACTATCTTGCACATCTCGATTTTTATCCACTTCTGTGAGGCATATCTCGGAGTTCTTCCCCACTTCAACCTCTTCCATCATCTATTCTGGCTGAAGAAGAAGGGTGGTGGTGGCTCAAAGGTGGTTGGCGGCGTTTATCTTCAACTCCGCGACGGAATGGCGGGCGAGTACATCACTGTACCGCTGAACACCTCGCTGAAGGGGTGGGACGCCAGGTGGTTCTACATGAAACAGAGCCATCCCGCCATCCGCTGCGACGTCGACCACGTGCTGGAGAACAAGAGGAGGTGGTTGGAGAGGCCGAGCAGTGCTGACATAAAGCAGGTGAGGGAGCTCCTCGGCCTAATTAAGGGCATGAAGATGAACGGCGGGTTGGTGGCGGCAAGCTTCATAGTGCGCCGCGTCCAGCCCTGTAAGGAGAGGGCCCATGCGGGCTTTGACTTAAGGGGGACACCGACGGTACCCGGGAGATGTCGGAGAGGCTGACAAAGAACGACGTGCTAGAGCGGGTCGCAGGGCTTTTTGCTCCAAATGCTTCATTCAGCGTGTCAGGGCAGACGAGGGCCTTTAACTGCACGAACCCGCCCCCTCAGGTAAAAGTTTCAATTGTTTGTTCATGATCCTTTTTATCCTGTAGCGTTGCCGAGCAGTGAACTAATTCACTTATGGAAATATCCACTCGTAGGAACGAGCGGTGTACTTCTCGAGCGTGCCAAGGGGCGATTGGCCGTAGGTAGTAGACGCCCGGCCACCAACGCAGCCTGAGGAAGGTGCCGTCAGCGCCTCGTTGGAGTCCGGAGGCGCGGACGCTGGTCGGACGGAGAGTCCTCCCCCGGTGTTAGAGAAAGTCTGGGGGAATAGGGCAGCAGCAGATGAGCCGCCCAGGAAGAAGAGGAAGACGGCGGGTGCCACTCCCCGTAAGTCGGGCGACA